TGGAAGACCGGAAGCTGTGTGGTTCATAAAAACATGTTCTTACTCAATATCAAGCCACGATTATTGCTTTTATTTAAAATCGTATCATTTCGGACTTTTGTTGCCGTCTGTGAGGAAAAGAAATGGGGCTCAGAGCCTCAGGATACTGAAATCTGTATTTTTAAAATCTTTTTTTCCTTCTAATTTGTTATTCTTTTCAAAATAACACACTGTTATTTACTCAACAATAACACACAATTATCCTTGTTTTTATTTATTGGTTTAATTCGATAATCTCGGGCTATTTTGATGTCCGTCAGGAACTGAATTTCAAAATAAAGTCAACACGTCTTTTTCTCGGTCTGGTCGTGGAAGACCGGAAGCTGTGTGGTTCATAAAAACATGTTCTTACTCAATATCAAGCCACGATTATTGCTTTTATTTAAAATCGTATCATTTCGGACTTTTGTTGCCGTCTGTGAGGAAAAGAAATGGGGCTCAGAGCCTCAGGATACTGAAATCTGTATTTTTAAAATCTTTTTTTCCTTCTAATTTGTTATTCTTTTCAAAATAACACACTGTTATTTACTCAACAATAACACACAATTATCCTTGTTTTTATTTATTGGTTTAATTCGATAATCTCGGGCTATTTTGATGTCCGTCAGGAACTGAATTTCAAAATAAAGTCAACACGTCTTTTTCTCGGTCTGGTCGTGGAAGACCGGAAGCTGTGTGGTTCATAAAAACATGTTCTTACTCAATATCAAGCCACGATTATTGCTTTTATTTAAAATCGTATCAATTCGGACTTTTGTTGCCGTCTGTGAGGAAAAGAAATGGGGCTCAGAGCCTCAGGATACTGAAATCTGTATTTTTAAAATCTTTTTTTCCTTCTAATTTGTTATTCTTTTCAAAATAACACACTGTTATTTACTCAACAATAACACACAATTATCCTTGTTTTTATTTATTGGTTTAATTCGATAATCTCGGGCTATTTTGATGTCCGTCAGGAACTGAATTTCAAAATAAAGTCAACACGTCTTTTTCTCGGTCTGGTCGTGGAAGACCGGAAGCTGTGTGGTTCATAAAAACATGTTCTTACTCAATATCAAGCCACGATTATTGCTTTTATTTAAAATCGTATCATTTCGGACTTTTGTTGCCGTCTGTGAGGAAAAGAAATGGGGCTCAGAGCCTCAGGATACTGAAATCTGTATTTTTAAAATCTTTTTTTCCTTCTAATTTGTTATTCTTTTCAAAATAACACACTGTTATTTACTCAACAATAACACACAATTATCCTTGTTTTTATTTATTGGTTTAATTCGATAATCTCGGGCTATTTTGATGTCCGTCAGGAACTGAATTTCAAAATAAAGTCAACACGTCTTTTTCTCGGTCTGGTCGTGGAAGACCGGAAGCTGTGTGGTTCATAAAAACATGTTCTTACTCAATATCAAGCCACGATTATTGCTTTTATTTAAAATCGTATCATTTCGGACTTTTGTTGCCGTCTGTGAGGAAAAGAAATGGGGCTCAGAGCCTCAGGATACTGAAATCTGTATTTTTAAAATCTTTTTTTCCTTCTAATTTGTTATTCTTTTCAAAATAACACACTGTTATTTACTCAACAATAACACACAATTATCCTTGTTTTTATTTATTGGTTTAATTCGATAATCTCGGGCTATTTTGATGTCCGTCAGGAACTGAATTTCAAAATAAAGTCAACACGTCTTTTTCTCGGTCTGGTCGTGGAAGACCGGAAGCTGTGTGGTTCATAAAAACATGTTCTTACTCAATATCAAGCCACGATTATTGCTTTTATTTAAAATCGTATCATTTCGGACTTTTGTTGCCGTCTGTGAGGAAAAGAAATGGGGCTCAGAGCCTCAGGATACTGAAATCTGTATTTTTAAAATCTTTTTTTCCTTCTAATTTGTTATTCTTTTCAAAATAACACACTGTTATTTACTCAACAATAACACACAATTATCCTTGTTTTTATTTATTGGTTTAATTCGATAATCTCGGGCTATTTTGATGTCCGTCAGGAACTGAATTTCAAAATAAAGTCAACACGTCTTTTTCTCGGTCTGGTCGTGGAAGACCGGAAGCTGTGTGGTTCATAAAAACATGTTCTTACTCAATATCAAGCCACGATTATTGCTTTTATTTAAAATCGTATCATTTCGGACTTTTGTTGCCGTCTGTGAGGAAAAGAAATGGGGCTCAGAGCCTCAGGATACTGAAATCTGTATTTTTAAAATCTTTTTTTCCTTCTAATTTGTTATTCTTTTCAAAATAACACACTGTTATTTACTCAACAATAACACACAATTATCCTTGTTTTTATTTATTGGTTTAATTCGATAATCTCGGGCTATTTTGATGTCCGTCAGGAACTGAATTTCAAAATAAAGTCAACACGTCTTTTTCTCGGTCTGGTCGTGGAAGACCGGAAGCTGTGTGGTTCATAAAAACATGTTCTTACTCAATATCAAGCCACGATTATTGCTTTTATTTAAAATCGTATCATTTCGGACTTTTGTTGCCGTCTGTGAGGAAAAGAAATGGGGCTCAGAGCCTCAGGATACTGAAATCTGTATTTTTTAAAATCTTTTTTTCCTTCTAATTTGTTATTCTTTTCAAAATAACACACTGTTATTTACTCAACAATAACACACAATTATCCTTGTTTTTATTTATTGGTTTAATTCGATAATCTCGGGCTATTTTGATGTCCGTCAGGAACTGAATTTCAAAATAAAGTCAACACGTCTTTTTCTCGGTCTGGTCGTGGAAGACCGGAAGCTGTGTGGTTCATAAAAACATGTTCTTACTCAATATCAAGCCACGATTATTGCTTTTATTTAAAATCGTATCATTTCGGACTTTTGTTGCCGTCTGTGAGGAAAAGAAATGGGGCTCAGAGCCTCAGGATACTGAAATCTGTATTTTTAAAATCTTTTTTTCCTTCTAATTTGTTATTCTTTTCAAAATAACACACTGTTATTTACTCAACAATAACACACAATTATCCTTGTTTTTATTTATTGGTTTAATTCGATAATCTCGGGCTATTTTGATGTCCGTCAGGAACTGAATTTCAAAATAAAGTCAACACGTCTTTTTCTCGGTCTGGTCGTGGAAGACCGGAAGCTGTGTGGTTCATAAAAACATGTTCTTACTCAATATCAAGCCACGATTATTGCTTTTATTTAAAATCGTATCATTTCGGACTTTTGTTGCCGTCTGTGAGGAAAAGAAATGGGGCTCAGAGCCTCAGGATACTGAAATCTGTATTTTTAAAATCTTTTTTTCCTTCTAATTTATTATTCTTTTCAAAATAACACACTGTTATTTACTCAACAATAACACACAATTATCCTTGTTTTTATTTATTGGTTTAATTCGATAATCTCGGGCTATTTTGATGTCCGTCAGGAACTGAATTTCAAAATAAAGTCAACACGTCTTTTTCTCGGTCTGGTCGTGGAAGACCGGAAGCTGTGTGGTTCATAAAAACATGTTCTTACTCAATATCAAGCCACGATTATTGCTAATCTCTGTCTTTTTTGACGTCTGTCAGGAACTGAATTTCAAAATAAAGTCCGAAACAATACCAGAAACAGATTTAGGACTTTTCAATAATCCTCAGCGGTGAGTGGATGTTTTAGCCGCAATGCACGTAGGGATATGGTGTTTATGCACACGTTTCTTTCGTGTCAGAAAGCACGATTTTCAAAGTAATGCATTTTAAGTGGAAGAATTGTTCGTGTCTCCTCTTCGTGTCTCGGGAAGCCGGAAGCTGTAAAGCTGTAACATTTTCTAATGTTTATTTTTTTTAACCATAACGGGTACTTTACACAACATTGAGTCAAACTTATCCTTGTTTTAATCCTTGTTTTATTTATGTTAAATTCTTGTTGTCGGTTAATTTTCCATTTTATTTATTAAGGTTTAAGATATCATTAGTCTTTTATTTTATTATTATCATGCTTGGTGTTTACACTTTTCTGCATTTTATAAGGCAATATATACTTTTTTGTTTTTGTCTGTAGGCTACTTAGGTTATTAAATAGTTATTGTGTCAAAATATAGGAAATGTATTAATATTTGATTGTATAATCGGTACAGGAAATGACATAATTCAGAGCACCACCACCGGTCCGGCATTGCTATCCATCCTCTGACAAAGTAAGTTGTGTCACTAAAGTCTGATGCATGATTTAATAATTGGGGCTTTTTTTTAAGCCTTTTCTCGCATAGTTCATCATACATAATGAACTGTTCTAAGTCTGAGAAATGCTTTCGCCATAATCAGCAAAGCAACATTAATGTGAAATTATTCTTGCGGGCGGCTAGCTAGCTAGCTAGCTCACGTTCAACATAAGCTTAATCTAGTTTAGCTACATTTATATCAGCTCATAAGTGGTGTGTGGAAAATATTTGTCTTAATTACGGCTACATACTTCGGTGTTAAAGTGTGAGTTATACGTTATCTTAATCGCTTTTGTTTTACACATGACAGTACTAACGCTGCCGAGTGGACATTTAACATATGTTTGGGGGGGAGGGGCATAGTCCATGTGCACGGCCATGTGCTTGTTCCGCGTCTGAAACAGGAAACACGTACATGAACTCACTCAGTCTGTCTAAAGTAGTTAAACCGTCACAATGTGCATTTAAAAAAGCTAGTTTCACTACATAATTCACTTTTTCTGTTCTCTCCTGCAGCTCCTGTACCCACACCACAAACCCATACACTGATCTACACCATCATAAAACCAACGGCACTTTTAAGAGCCAAACTCAACCTATCTCTCTGTCTATCTACCTAGCTTTCTTATAGTTATTGTCTCTATCTTTTTCTATCATTCATTATCTATTTCTTCATCTATCTATCTCAATCTTACAATCTGTCTCACTATCTCTGTCTGTCTCATACAGCAGCTGTTTGTTTGCATATCTGTTGTGTCTGTCTGTCTGTCTGTCTGGCTGGCTGTGTTGCAATGGCAACAAAACACAACCCAGACCCCAATAATCCCACATCCAAAGAAGGGAAACGCATGGCTCTTGAGCTGAAACATGAACACATGCTAGCTGAAGCTAAGGTTGGTGTTTTAACCCATATGACCTCATTCATTTCCTACTTGAATGTGGCACTATCTCTTATCCAAAAAATGCTGAACAGGCCAAGAGTAACTGGATTTTGGATCAATGTATAGGGCCTTTGCAAAACAGTTCATCATTACAACATGGGGGGCAGAGGCTTACTAAATAAAGCTTGTTCAACTTGTTTTACTTCATTAGTTGGATATGGTAGGAAAAACTTGAAGCAAAAATGTTCTTCAAGTGAATGAATTTCCTTTTATTTGTCCACTGTCATATGGTATCAGTTTATCAGCAACATCAACCTTACATGAGTTGTTACTTGGTCACAGAAAGCAGCTGAGGAGAGGAAACGGGCACGCTCTGTAGGAGACACTTTACAGTCCCCTAAAAGGGGCTGTGTAGGACGTGGCAAGCCGAGAGGGAGGCGTGGAGGGCGACGCCAAGGCTCAGCTACAGGTTGAAATCCCAATTATTTTACATTTTTATGAATTTACTAAGTAACTGGTTGGAAAATCTAATTAAAACACAGTAATTGCTTGTTGAGAGTCTACAATAATCCCAATATATAAACGCATAGTGACACTACAGTCGGAGACATTCCCACTGTGGTGTCATAAGAACTATGCTTTATTTAATTTCACAAGCTTTTAAACAATAGGTAGATAATACAAATCATCAGTTATCTGTTGTTAACCCTCTGTGTGATGTTTTACAGTCACATCCCCCCCGACTGAGGGCTTCCAGTCATCCAGTGTGGAGGTTCTGCGTACTGAACCTTCAGCACAACATGAATTTGGTAAATCACAAAAATGGCTTTAAGTTTAAAACTAAAATCAATTTTTAAATAAATTGTGTTAGTGAGAGAAAATAACCTTATACACAACTGACAGTTCAGGACTCGGAACGAGGAATAATTCAGTAAAGATATTGGCCAGTTCCATACTGAGCAAAGAAATGATCCTTGATTTTTAGTGTTCATCTTAAATATAGTCATTTACAGTTAAAGTTTCCCATTCTGTTCACAGAAAAGAATATGGAGAGACTCTCTGACATTCTTTCCTCATGTCCTCCTCCTGAGCCTCAAAGAAGCTCTGCCTCATCCTGGTCTTTTCGGCAGCAGAAAGCCTCAGAGCGCTGGAAAGAAGCGAGACCACACCACCTACAATGCCTTCTAGAAAAAGAGGCTGTTGGTCATCCCCTGTGTGGCCTCTGCCACGAGCCGGCTGTTATTAGGTGAGATAACATTTACCTTTATTTAAATTACTTTACCTAATTGTAATTTTTCAGTATTAATGCTCAGTGCTCTGCTATTTCAGCTAGCATGCATGACTTTTGGGATGTTAGAAAACTGGATACCTAGAGAAAACCCACATGAAAATGAAAGTAATTCTAGGATATTATAATCATTTTGTATTTCCTCCCAAGGTGTAGAGAGTGTCTCCCCGAGGAGTGGTTCTGTGGAGACTGTGATGTACTTCATCACAAGAAACAGCCACTCCACAACAGGGACAGTTTAATTAATGGGTTTTTTAAACCAATTAGTCCAACAACGTGTGTTGTTAGAGTGGAAGGTGGATATGACACCCATGACCAAGGTATGCTCTCTCAAACTTGCATTTTGATGTTCACATGTCTCTTCGGCCAGCAGATAATGGTAATTAGTGCTTTTTTTTTTTTTTTGACAGCTTGCATATTGCCAACTGTGAAGGCACCCAACTGCTCCTGTAAAGGCAACAACTTCACTGTGGTACCAGGCAAACCAGTGATTTTAATTACCATCAATGGTAAACAAATATATATATATATTTGGATTTCTATTGAATTGTTGTTATATTTTTACTGTTGTGGGCTGAGGCATTGTGCTTCCAATTGGAGTAAAACCTTCATGTAATATCTGTTAATCTTTGACTATTTGTAGATGGAACTGTTGTAAAATGTGTCTTAATTATGTTTATTTACTTGTTCCAAGGGCGTTATGACTTGCATCTGCCACTATATGTCTGTCAAACTTGCCAGCAGCAGTGGACCCCCGACTTGAAATGTGAAAGTTAAATTAAAATAGTGTCCCTTGGCTGTGAAAGTTAAGATAAGAGTAGTTTTAAAATTGAAAGAAAAGAGAATATTAAATAATACCTTTGCAATAATATCTATATTTGAAGTTGATATCAAAGTGTATATTGGTTAATAAGATACAAACATCATTAAGAAATAAATGTATATAAAAACAACATTCAACTTTATCCTGGCCCAATATATTGGCAAACAGTCGGGGGTCCGTCTGTGTCAGTTCTTTGGTGTCAGCTTGGTGTGTCCGGGCATTAACATACAGTAAAAAGTGTACATACCAAGACAATGGCTTCATCCTTGATGGAAGCAATGTTGTGGTTCTTCTTCCGCCCAGACACCCAATCCTCTCGCTTCTCATCAAACCGCTTGAGCTTCTTCTCAAGGTGCAGCTTTTTTGGCTGCTCCTTAAGGCAATGTGCACAGATCTTCTGTGCACAAAATAAAATGTTCTGACAGAAGGGACATGTCTTTTTTGTAGACCCACCTGGCATGATTAACACAGGATTACAAACAGACAGACTGACAAACACAGGAAAGTAGAGAAGTACACAGAATAGATAGAAGGGTGAATAAAGAAATAGATGATAGATATAAGAGAGCTGGATAGGGAGATAGGGAGAGTTTGGCTCTTAAAAGTGCCGTTGGTTTTATGATGGTGTAGATCAGTGTATGGGTTTGTGGTGTGGGTACAGGAGCTGCAGGAGAGAACAGAAAAAGTGAATTATGTAGTGAAACTAGCTTTTTTAAATGCACATTGTGACGGTTTAACTACTTTAGACAGACTGAGTGAGTTCATTTACGTGTTTCCTGTTTCAGACTCGTAACAAGCACATGGCCGTGCACATGGACTATGCCCCTCCCCCCCAAACATATGTTAAATGTCCGCTCGGCAGCACTGTCATGTGTCAAACAAAAGCGATTAAAATAACGTATAACTCACACTTTAACACAGACGTATGTAGCCGTAATTAAGACAAATATTTTCCACACACCACTTATGAGCTGATATAAATGTAGCTAAACTAGTTTAAGCTTATGTTGAACGTGAGCTAGCTAGCTAGCCGCCCGCAAGAATAATTTCACATTAATGTTGCTTTGCTGATTATGGCGGAAGCATTTCTCAGACTTAGAACAGTTCATTATGTATGATGAACTATGCGAGAAAAGGCTTAAAAAAAAGCCCCAATTATTAAATCATGCATCAGACTTTAGTGACACAACTTACTTTGTCTGAAGATGGATCGCAATGCCGGTGGCAGCGGTCTTTGGCCAATAGAGTGGCGAAGTCCCTCCCACTTACTTCCGGGGTATGGGACCTTATTTCGGAAAAATTATGCATTGAAGTCAATGGGGAGAGAAAACTTATCTTTCGATCCCGTTTGAATTGTGCCATGAATTACACATATGATGTTTGTCAATCTTAAAAAATCATTTCCATGTCAAAAAAGTCACAGTTTGTCTTAAAACTGTTGAAATATAAGACTTTGAAAAATACGAAACTAGAAAGACTACAAATCCCAGAGTCGCGTAAGTGATGTCACAATTGAGACACTACGATACACGTATAATACCGTATATATACGATCAGCGCCATATAGATAGAATCTATCTATATGGCGCTGGCTAAGATAAGATAACTTTGTGCCTGTGTGCTTAGTACCAGGTTGTTATTATACCAGCAATGGGTCTTGCTCGTTCTTTCGCTTCCCGTCTGATGAAAGAGGAGTGTGTGGATCAAGTTAGCTACCTAGCTAGTAGCTAGCACGTTAGTTAGCATTACAGCCTTGTCATTTTTATTAGCCTTAACATGAAGTAACATTAAGTAACCCAAAATGTTAAACAGTAAGAGTAGTAGTCATATTTCGTGAACCCTTTGAATAGTACTGTCACCGGTGTGATCATTCTATAATACACAATTTAAGCCCGGGGGAGAAATGCTAACGCTAACGCTAGCGATCTTCTCTACTTCATGCTATCTGCACAAATGGTTGACATTAAACATTAAAACGACCAGGCAGTTCAGAGAGAATCAAAGGAAGGAAGGCAGGCAGCTTTGCATGACATTCTTCAGGACGTGTTTCATTGTAGTGATAGTGAGGGTAGTCTCTTGTGTTGACAAGACAGTAGTGACGGCCATCTTGGTGACGTGTGTTGTTGACCAGAGATCAGATGTAGTTCTTTGAGCGTTTCACACAAACAAATGTGTTACTTCACAGTTTTACGACACATTTTAATTTTTTTGACTTGCAAAATTATCTTTTAAATTGACAAACATCATATGTGTAATTCGTGGCACAATTCAAACGTAAAACTGTGAAGTAACACATTTGTTTGTGTGAAAGGCTCAATGAACTACATCTCTGGTCAACCACACACGTCACCAAGATGGCCGTCACTACTGTCTTGTCAACAAACGATTGACTATCACCACAATGAAACACGTCCTGAAGAATGTCATGCAAAGCCTGCCTTCCTTTGATTCTCTCTGAACTGCCTGGTCGTTTTAATGTTTAATGTCAACCATTTGTGCAGATAGCATGAAGTAGAAAAGATCGCCGATGCTAACGTTAGCGTTAGCATTTCTCCCCCGGAATTAAATGGTGTATTATAGAATGATCACACCGGTGACAGTACTATTCAAAGGGTTCACGAAATATGACTACTACTCTTACTGTTTAACATTTTGGGTTACTTAATGTTACTTCATGTTAAGGCTAATAAAAATGACAAGGCTGTAATGCTAACTAACGTGCTAGCTACTAGCTAGGTAGCTAACTTGATCAAGCCACTCCTGGTCGTTTCATCAGACGGGAAGCAAAAGAACGAGCAAGACCCATTGCTGGTATAATAACAACCTGGTACTAAGCACACAGGCATCTTGTTAAAGTTATCTTATCTTAGCCAGCGCCATATAGATAGATTATATCTATATTGCGCTGATCTTAGGTATCTGAATGGTGGAGGTAAACAATTGTGACATCACTTACGCGACTCTGGGATTTGTAGTCTTTCTAGTTACGTATTTTTCATAGTCTTATATTTCAACAGTTTTACGACAAACTGTGACTTTTTTGACATGGAAATGATTTTTTAAGATTGACAAACATCATATGTGTAATTCATGGCACAATTCAAACGGGATCGAAAGATAAGTTTTCTCTCCCCATTGACTTCAATGCATAACTTTTCCGGAATAAGGTCCCATACCCCGAAAGTAAGTGGGAGGGACTTCGCCACTCTATAGGTGGTGCTCTGAATTATGTCATTTCCTGTACCGATTATACAATAAAATATTAATACATTTCCTATATTTTGACACAATAACTATTTAATAACCTAAGTAGCCTACAGACAAAAACAAAAAAGTATATATTGCCTTATAAAATGCAGAAAAGTGTAAACATCAAGCATGATAATAATAAAATAAAAGACTAATGATATCTTAAACCTTAATAAATAAAATGGAAAATTAACCGACAACAACAATTTAACATAAATAAAACAAGGATTAAAACAAGGATAAGTTTGACTCAATGTTGTGTAAAGTACCCGTTATGGTTATAAAAATTAATAAAATAAAAAAAAAAAAAACATTGAAAATAATACAGCTTCCGGTTTCCGACGGTCTCCCTTCTCCTGGCAAATATCCTAAACCTTAATAAATAAAATGGACAATTGATCGACAATTTAACATAAACAAAACAAGGATAAGTTTGACTCAATGTTATGTAAAGTACCCGTTATGGTTAAAAAAAATAAACATTAGAAAATAATACAGCTTCCGGCTTCCCGAGACACGAAGAGGAGACACGAACAATTCTTCCACTTAAAATGCATTACTTTGAAAATCGTGCTTTCTGACACGAAAGAAACGTGTGCATAAACACCATATCCCTACGTGCATTGCGGCTAAAACATCCAATCACCGCTGAGGATTATTGAAAAGTCCTAAATCTGTTTCTGGTATTGTTTCGGACTTTATTTTGAAATTCAGTTCCTGACAGACGTCAAAAAAGACAGAGATTATCGAATTAAACCAATAAATAAAAACAAGGATAATTGTGTGTTATTGTTGAGTAAATAACAGTGTGTTATTTTGAAAAGAATAACAAATTAGAAGGAAAAAAAGATTTTAAAAATACAGATTTCAGTATCCTGAGGCTCTGAGCCCCATTTTTTTCCCTCACAGATGGCAACAAAAGTCCGAAATGATACGATTTTAAATAAAAGCAATAATCGTGGCTTGATATTGAGTAAGAACATGTTTTTATGAACCACACAGCTTCCGGTCTTCCACGACCAGACCGAGAAAAAGACGTGTTGACTTTATTTTGAAATTCAGTTCCTGACGGACGTCAAAATAGCCCGAGATTATCGAATTAAACCAATAAATAAAAACAAGGATAATTGTGTGTTATTGTTGAGTAAATAACAGTGTGTTATTTTGAAAAGAATAACAAATTAGAAGGAAAAAAAGATTTTAAAAATACAGATTTCAGTATCCTGAGGCTCTGAGCCCCATTTCTTTTCCTCACAGACGGCAACAAAAGTCCGAAATGATACGATTTTAAATAAAAGCAATAATCGTGGCTTGATATTGAGTAAGAACATGTTTTTATGAACCACACAGCTTCCGGTCTTCCACGACCAGACTGAGAAAAAGACGTGTTGCAGGCACGAAACACATTACCAATAGAAATACATTGCTTTTAAAATCGTTCTGTGTGACACGAAAATAAGGGGATAATCGTGGTGGTGCACACAAATCAATAGATTAAATAACGTGACTATAACACGAAATGCCGTGAGACTGGGTTGCGTATGTACTGTACATGTACTGTCACAATGTACGGTAAATCACCCGGAGTATACTGTATGAGTATTCCGTGTGTGTGACTGCAGACATTCTCCTGCCATGACAAACATGTAAGGCCATCTGCTGACATTGTAGTTGATATATTTAAACGCTAGCAACGTAGCATAAC